ACACACACACACACACACACACAGTTGTTTTGGAGAACCATCACTTTTCACATTGGCTTCCAGTTTTCCCCACAGAGAGCTGTGTGTGGATACTGCGATTCCCTCTCTCACGGCATTCAGAGCCAATATTCTGCTTTATTTACAACTTCAACTATGAATAGCAATTGTGACAGGCTCTCGGTTACCACAGAAAATAATTCAAACTGAAGGGGCGTGATGTAATTATCCATAAAGCACTGTTTATGTGAGCAAACTCAAACAAACAGCAATTATACACCAGCAACAGACGAGCAGAATTCATCTGTCTGAAACCGTAGTCCCACATCAAACACAAGGTTTAGACTCTTCACAACACACATATTTGACATTTTATTCCTGATTTTAATTCCAGCTGAATTACATGCATGGGCTCGATGCCCATGGTTTTCAACCAGTTGAGAAGATATATCAAAGATAATATACAGCATCTAATAATACATCTTAAAGATATGTAAAGGTAGGTTGACTGCAACAATGTGACATTAAAAAGTTCTAAAAGCTCTAGTTTGTTGTAGCAGCCTGATGCAGTAACACTGATTCAACCAATAACGTGAGTTTGGGGCGGGACTTCCTGTCTGTCTGACCAATAGAAGGCAATGAAATGATTCTGGAAACCTTTACATTTCCAATTCAGTTTGGTGGCGTTAGTGGTGCAGAAATTACATTCATGACATTTCTAAACAATTCCTAATGTCTAAAATAAGCTGTAATATTTATTACTCAAATAATAGAGTAATGTTAGTTAATGTGTTTAATAAAAGTAAAAAACTTTTTTTTAAATAAAAATAAGAACTTTTAAATGAAAAAATGATCGTTGTGTGCCAAGAAATCATACTGATATACATTTTCGGTTTAGCAAAAGTACTAATTAAAAATGTATATTTTAATTCAATATTACTACTAGTGCTACTACTAAGATAAATATATAATTTTGAATTAATTTAGAAAAAAAAGGTTAAAATAAAACAAACTTAAACTGACATACAGTATATTAAAAAAAAATCATTTTTATGATTTTTACAGATTTTTTTTTACTGATTTTAGATCTCAACATTTCAAACATTTAGTTTAATTTGATACTAAAATGGTAGTAAAATAACAAACTAAAACTGAAATAAAAATTAAATAAAAACTATACAATAAAAAAAATAAATAAATAAATAAAAAACTTGAATTTTTTTTTTTATCAAAACAGACAATAACAAAACAAATAAAAAAACATCTAAATATGAATAAAAACTATAAACAGTCTACTGATTTTATCTCAATTACACTAAAATAACACAGCTCGGTCCCTCAGTTTTTAAACCTCTCATTAGTAGAGATGATTTTCTGTGTTAACAGAGAGCGTCACAAATACCGTTCACAGAATATTCCTTTAACACGCCATTAAAACCCTTTCTGAACAACAGATCAAAGCGATCCCTCTGAGAACAGCGAGGAAGAATAAACGCAGGAAACAGAAGTATGAAGAACAGGAAGTAGATTCTGATTGGCCAGTCGAAGCCCCACCTACCCGTTGTGCTGTTCCCCTGTGGCTTTGCTCTCCAGCAGGCCACGCCTCTGGCCCAAGGCCACCTCGCACACGTTCTCATTGGAGTAGAGGTTGATGGGCGTGTTATAGACGGACGAATGAGGGGCGGCGGGGGCCGGGGGCGGAGCCAGCACTCTCGCCGGGGAGGAGGAGCCAGAGGATGGTGTGGAGGAGGAGTTAGTGAAGGGGGAGTGGCCAGAGGCGGGTTTGGGGGCGGAGCCAGGCTGCTGGGACGGAGCGGCTGGGGTGAAGGCAGACGAGGCGGAGGGGATGGAGGCTTTGGGACTGACCGATCTGACGGTGTTAGTCGTTCCGCCGAAGGGCCGAGCCGTCTTATTATAAGCAATGCTGGCGGGGCCGGTGGAGGCCCCAGGCGTTTGGCTGATGGGCACCGGCTTTATGATCTCCTGTGGTTCCTCCTACAGAAGTGATGAAACACATGCAACACATGCTCACGGCACACGCATGCAGGAGTCCCTCATTACAGCCCTAAAGAACGCTCACTTCAGCTTTTTATGTACATCGATTTCAATAGTCACCACTGACAAGCTACTGCTAGATATATTGTAGAAACTTAATTTCCTATAAAGCTGCTTCTGCAACGATTTGTATCGTGAAAAGCGCTATACAAATAAACTTGAATTGAATTTTCACATGCACAGTCTGTGGTCAATTAATTTGCAATGAATCATGACTAATTGATTACAAGAATTTTTTATTAATTTTAATTCACATCAGGGTTATTATAATTAACTGAAACCATAAAAGAACATTTCCGTTACTTGAAATACAATAAATTAAATTATAAAAACTTTAAATAAATATTTTAAACTAGTTTCCCATTTTCATTTAGTTCATGTTTATGTACTAAAATAATTAAAACTGAAATAAAAAAATTATAACTAACTATTATATTAAATAAAATTAATTATATTATATATGAAATAAAATTATAATATTATAATAGTTTTAATAAAAAAAACCTAATAAAAATAAAATTACTAACTTTTTCATATTAAAAGGAAAACAGAAAATATAAAAATAAAAACTAATTCAAAGCATTAATAAAAACTATAATTGTCTCTCAGTGATACTAAAATAACATATAAAAAGATTCACAGTAAGGGTGACCCTGAATAGTCGAAGATTCGATGCTTCGATAGGAGGAGCCTGATTCGATACCAAGTCAGGCGGTTTATATATATTGTGTATATATTATTTATCTCGTATAAGATGCACTTGGTTGAGTTGGGCTGCAGTAAAGCGCTTCATTGTAGTACTACGGTGATTATCTCTTCAGCGCGAGCAGGACAAACAACAATGCAGAATATTAATAACTATGACTGGGACTGTCATACACATAACATTATAATGAGAACACTATTATAATAAAACGCTGTGAATTTTTAGAGTTTAGTTGCCGTGTTTCTGCACGTTGTTGCGTGAAGAACGCTTTCACAAAAGGAGTTCATTCAGAGCCGCGCAGACACGTTCATGTGCATTCGGAGCATTTTGTGCAGATAGCCTATAAGTCGTAATATTACCGTTATGTTGTATAAATAACTAAGCGGATTCTATATGAGATAAATTATGAGTTAAATCCCACTGATTAAAAACCTGCTGCTTCTGGTCATCTTCAGTGCACGCAGCTCAAAACAGAAATGCAGAACATTAATAACTACTGTCGTATACATAACGTGATAATGAGAGCACTGTTGTAAAAAACGTTGTGAATTTTTAGGGTTTCGCTGACGTTTAATGTTAACTATCTTTGAATCAAAACATAAAACATTATTTTTGTGTCTTCGAGGCGTCCGTTACACATTTTCCCTGTGTGTTATCGTCATTAATTATAACTGTCGAATGTCTGACTTGACTCTTGTTAATGTATTTTGCCCCCCGCCCCAAAACATATGATTCGACTATCAGTCGACTATCGGCAAGATTCAAAAATTCAGATTCGACTATGAAAATCCTTAGTCGGGGACACCCCTAATTCACAGATTTGCTAATGAATTATGAATGAAGTTATTATTATTTCAATTAAATTGATATAAATAATTTCCAGGCCTTGGGGGGGGGTTCTCTGATATTTACCCTGTACATATTTTAAATTACAAATATCTGAGAGTCAGAGATATTTTAGTATCATTGAGATACTATTATAGTTTTTATTATTTTTTATTAAGTTTTTATTTAAATTTTAGTTAAAGTTTTAGTGTGTTTTGTCACATTAATTAGTTTCTTTTTTAAATATGTCTATACTGATTTTATTCATAATCTGTGAATCAATGTTATTTTCAATTCGATTCAATTCAATTTTATATTATATTGTATTATAGTTTTTATTAAATGCTTTGAATTAGTTTCCGTTTTAATTTTTATATTAAAGTTGTGTCATTTTGTCCTTTCGTCTTTTTTTTGTTTTTGTCTATAGTTTAATTTTTATTTTGTCTATAGTTTTTCATTTTTATTTCAGTTTTAGTTTTAGTTATTTTAGTACATCAAGTTAAACTAAATGAAAATGCCTTGCCAACTAGCTGAAATGAAATAAGGTTTTTTAATATTTGATCTTATTTCAGTAAATATTTGTATGGTTTTTGCTTTAGTTAACTATAATAAATGAGACGGTATAATTGAAATATTCTCCTACTAACGGCCTGTAATGAGGGGGAGCAGAATCCCTCACAGATCTTCAGTGTCATGCAGCAGATCAGGCATCTCAATCAGCATGCGTGTCCTCACCAGACGTGATGCTAAGCCACAAAAGTGATGTGTGGCGAGACATTTGATTGGTTGCCTCGTTTATATTCTGTCACAATGCACAGAGAGGCCCCGCCCACAGTGATATCTAATTGGTTCAAACATCACTGTATATTAAAATATGCTCTTAATGGCTGTGATTATGTAATTTCAAACAGCATTTCGCTTTTTGTTTGACACTTAATGTCATGTAAACACCTTTTTATTAGGAAAAGGCCATAAATGATTTAAGCAAACTCAATCATATTCTGTCAGCCTATTTAATGTGCATATGTCAGTTTATATTTTGACATCAAAAATGGAGAACTACTTTTTGTTGTCATCAGCTACATAATGATGCCTTTAATTGCCTGTACACCATTAAAAAGGCATTTATAGTGAGATCATTTTTTTGGTAAAAATGTAACATGCACACACACTTTGCAATATATATATATACAAACATGCAATATAATAGATCATTTGTTTTCATATGAAGCTAATTATAAAGACTACAGACTAAATCCAACCCTGCCCTAAAGGGAAAATAATAAAAGAAAAGAAAATTGAATAAAAGAAAAAAAAAGAAAAAAAAATTAAATAATTAAATTAAAAACTAAATTAAATAAAATGACAACATAAAATGAAAAAAATAAAAAAATTAAAAAGACACAATAAAAAATAAACAAAAAAAATAAAAACAACATAAAAAAGGGCTTAATCATGAGTTACTTTTTGGTAATTATTAGCACTTTGTTGTACATTTAAACACTTATTAATTAATTTTTTTAAATCACATTTTACTGCCACATTATCTGATACTATAAATGTCAGGTTGCGCCTGGTTAGGACACGCATTACATATAACTGCATAGTCTGAAGTTTACGTACCTGCAAAGTCTCTGTTTTAGTGATACTGGAAGATCTGCAAAGACAAAACAGACGTTTAACATAAGACCTCATGATTGTACAACAATGATCTGCTGAATTAATAAAAGTCAATATGGAAATAATGTCCCAAGTTTGACTGAGAGAAGCTTATATCTGTGTGTGTGTGTGTGTGTGTGTGTGTGTGTAATATAGTTTGAATAATGACTCTATTTTGGCTGCCATTCAAACAAACTGCACCTTCCACTGTATGCTACATTACACGGCCATAAATAAAGCAGAGAGCAAATCACTGAGAGAAAACACTTTGCTGTAGTGTCTGAGGTGACAAATGAGATTTCCAGATCAATCTTTGGGTGGTTTGGAGGCTCTGAGGAGCGTTTAGCTCTCTTATGACAGTGAAGGATCAGAGCCATGTTTAGGATCTAGTTTATATCAGACTTGAGGAAAAACTAATGGGAGAAATCCCTCCACAAGGCACATTTCCATTAAAACAGATGAAAAAAGAAGTCTTATTGGCAAAATGCATCACGTCTTTACTTTAGAACACACTAGAAAAGACTCTTTCATCCAAAGCAACTTATAATTGAGAAATTGAAAATAGTGTCAGCTAAATAAATAAATGTAAACAAACATGCATGTGTAATTAGTTGCACTAACCTCAAAAACAGACCATTTTAGCCGGATTTAAGATGTAAATTATTGGATTAAATTAGAATTATTGGATAAAAGCATCTGCCAAATGAACACATGAAAAATGCACATGTAAAAAAAAAAGTAAAGAAATAAATACTTTTATTCATCAAGGATGCATTAAATTGATCAGAAGTGACAGCAAAGGCATTTATAATGTTATAACAAATTTCTATTTCAAATAAACGCTGTTCTTTTGAACTTTCTATTCATCTGTGAATCCTGAAAAATAAAATGTATCACGGTTTCCACAAAAATATTGTGCAGCACAACTGTTTTCAACATTGATAATAATCAGAAATGTTTCATAAGCAGCAAATCAGCATATTAGAATGATTTCTGAAGATCATGTGACACTGAAGACTGGAGTAATGATGCTGAAAATTCAGCGCTGCATCACAGAAATAAATTACAGTTTAACAGATATTCACATAGAAAACAGATATTTTAAATTCTAATAATATTTCACTATTTTTACTATTTTTATTGTATTTTTAATCAAATAAACGTAGCCTTGGTAAGCAGAAGAGACTTCAAAGAGAATTCTATCAGATTGATAAAAAAGTTGCTTTAACAGAAATATTTGATTAAAAATGCTAAATAAATATACATTAAAAGGCTAAATAGACATAAACGCAGACGTGTGATGAATTAAATACGCAAAGCGTGTCTATCTCAGCCCCTTTCCCATCATTGTGACGCGAACACAATCTGAAATATGACTGTGTCAACAAACCTCCAGTCAAAGTGCATCAGGGTTTGTGCATTTGGAGATGTTTTGCTTTTCACAAACCCGCAGACATACTTTACGTTCTCATTTATCAGCTGATTCTCGTCACACTGTCTAGACGGCTTCATTTGTCCTCATTAATCAGCATCAAAATTCCTCGTAAATAACCTCCGTCCTCGAGCGGGCGACAAACAGGCCACACTTCCTACAAAAACTGCTGTGACTCTGCGAATCCGTTCCGCGAATCCTCAATCGCTTCCATATTAGGAAGGCCGAGCTGTTCTTTTGTGCCCGACAGTGCTGCTCATAATAGGGGTAAAGATGGAGCTGGCAGCACAAAGAGAACACTTGCAGGAGGAAGTTAAAGGAGCTCAGACAAAGAGCAATAATCAGCACTCCCCCGACAAATGTGAACAATAGAAGCAGAGGAGAGGAAGCAGACGGTGTGCAAGCAGCTCAGATCAACCTGCAGATCCTGTCTGTAAAGAATCATCCTGTTCATACAAACGCAAACTCCACCGACAGCATCTGTGGCACAACGATGGCAGCACAGGAAAAAATTAGCATAGAAAAATCATGTTGGAATAGAAGATAATTAAAAAAATATTTTTTTTTTAAATCAATAAAATAAAAAAATTCAACAAAATAAAATAAAATAAAATGAGAAAGCACATAAAATAAAAAAATATACCACATAAAAAAATAAATAAAATAAAATACAAAAAAGCAGTGAAGAGGAAGCAGACAATGTAGAAGAATCTGGTCTGAAAAAAATAAAAAAATAAAAGAATAATATTATATATATATATATATATATATAAAATATTACTAAAAACAAAAAGTAAATAAAT